AAGAACTGGGCTACAGGCCAGAGGTGCAGGGGGGTGAGAGGATTCACCAGAGACAGTGAGGAGCAGAACAGGCAGATTGACTGGAATAGACTGCTGAGGGGAGCAGCGGATGAGACAGGAGAGGTCTGCTGCACCATGTGGGTCAGCTCCCTGGCCAGGGGTCAAACTCATGCTGCAGTGGCTGCAGACAGCTTCATAATGTTGTGCTTTAACCCACTGTGCCACCAGGGAGGGCCCCGTCACATACCTTTTAAATGTAAGAATGTCCCTTATATGGCAGGGTCACTCCCCAATTCCCAGGAACCCCCCCAGTCCTTTCCTGGTGCCAGACCCCCTACCCATGTCCCAGTCTCCTAGCACCCCCTCTCCTACCAGGGATGTGGCTCGGGGCTACGAGAATGTGCCCATTCCCTGTGTCAACGGCGTGGACGGGGAGCCCTGCCCCGAGGATTACAAGTACATCTCGGAGAACTGTGAGACGTCCACCATGAACATCGACCGCAACATCACCCACCTGCAGGTGAGTGAGGGTCCTGGGCTCTTCCCAGGGGACCCTCAGCTGCTGAGTACAGCTGGCCAGGTGAGGGCCCACAAGGACACCTGGCTGTGGAAGTGGGGCTGCCAGGGAGGCTAGTGTGGACTCATCGCCACCTGGGGGCCCTGTCCTGTTTCTGCGGCACATGGAGCATCATACAGGCTGGGGGTGCCCCTGGGGATGCACCATCAGCCACATGTCAGTTTCCCGGCCACATGTCAGTTTCCCTCACTGTGAAACCTTCCTAGCTTGCTGTACTGGAGAAAGGACATGGGGGGGGGGGGGGCCCTGTGGTCCCGCTGAGCCCTGCCTCCCACCCAGCACTGCACGTGTGTGGACGACTGCTCCAGCTCCAACTGCCTGTGCGGCCAGCTCAGCATCCGCTGCTGGTATGACAAGGTGCGTGACCCCCACCTCTGGGGCCCTTGCCCCTTGCTTCCTGCGTGTGGGAGTGGCAGAGGGCGACCTAGCCTAGGACTCCGGGGCTGGCGCTGCCTTGGGGACAAAGATGGACATAGCCCGGCCTGGAAATCCAGGGGGAGGCTTCTGTTCTCTGGTCTCAGCATGCATGGCCTCCCCCATGCCTTCCTGCTTCTGGGCCGGGGTCGGCAGGCCATTTTGCTGTGGCATGCTGGGGTCCGGGACCGCTTGAACAGGCACCGCACAGAACCACTGTCCTCCCTCCCCTCAACCCAGGACGGGCGACTGTTGCAGGAGTTTAACAAGATCGAACCCCCGTTGATTTTTGAGTGTAACCAGGCGTGCTCCTGCTGGAGAAACTGCAAGAACCGTGTCGTGCAGAGTGGCATCAAGTGAGACTCCCTGCGGCACCCTCTCCTCTCCTCCCCCATCCTTAGGGGCTTTTCATGTCCCCCCCACCCCCCACCCAACACCTCATTTTTTCCCCCATGCTCAGGGTGCGACTGCAGCTGTACCGGACAGCTAAGATGGGCTGGGGGGTCCGAGCCCTGCAGACCATCCCCCAGGGAACCTTCATCTGCGAGTGAGTGAGTGGGCCCCTGCTGACCCCCAGGCCTCCCTCTGGGCCCTTCTCCCTGACAGTCCCCCCTCCCTTAGCTGCCCCCAACAGCTGAGGACTGCATGCCCACCTCTGTATTCCTGAGCCTCTCACACGCTTGCCTGCTTTCCCCATCTGGGGAAGCACACTCTGGACACAGGCCTGAGCCCCTCACTCTGCCACTACTGTCGCGAGCCACTCTACTCCTTTTATTTAAGATTTAATTATTTGTGCATACAGAGCTGGGGTACTGGGGTATAGGCCAGAAGTGCAGGGGAGCTGAGAGGATTCACCAGAAACAGAGTGGGGAGCAGCAGGCGAGACAAGGTCTGCTGGGCTGTGTGGGTCAGTTCCCTGGCCGGGGATCAAACTCGTGCTGAAGCGGCTACAGCTAGCTTCGCAGTGTTGAGCTTTAACCCATTGCACCACCGAGGAGGGCCCAAGCCTCATTACTTCTTAAGCTTCCATTCTTTTTGACTGCAAAATGGAGGTGGTAACCCTACCTTTCCATCCATCCCGTTAGGGGCCTCACCGCCCTACCAGTCCTTTCTCTTCCTACCATGTGAACCCCACCCCTACCCCCCAGCTGCTACTCCATGGCTATCAGACTACTTTGGCCCTCCGTGGTGGGCGCAGCAGGTTAAAGCACAGCACTAAGAAGCCAAAGCCACTTCAGCATGAGTTTTATCCCCGCCCCGGAAGTGACCACATGGCCCGACAGACCTCTTCTGACCCGCCCGCTACTCCCCTCAGCAGTGTGCTTCGTCATTCAGCCTGTTCTGCTCCCCACTGTGTCTCTGGTAAAGTCTCTCAAAGCCCCTGCACCTCTGGCCTGTACCCCACCCCTGTTCTGTATGCATAAATAAATAAATCTTTAAAAAACAACAACAACAAAAAACATTTAGCTGCATTTGCCTACGGAAGGGACTGCCCATCTTCTCTCCGCTTTGCTAGACAGGCAGCCCCTCTCTCCCCAGCCTCAGCCCCCCTCCATCAGTCTCCTCCCTGCTGAAACCTGCCTCTGCCCTTGCCCTTCCAGTGCCACCTCTAGACCGACCCTGCCCCCAGCTCCTAGCTGTGTGCCCGTTCTCCTGGCATCGCCGCCTCCCTCGGCTCACCCTCCCGTGCTGCCAGCTTCACCTGACCCACCCTCCTTGGTCTTGGCCAAATGTGCTTTCCAGATGTGTGTCCTCACTGCCGAATCCCACAGTCCGGGGCCTCAGTCCCTTCCCACAGCGCTATGCCTTCCTTCTCTTTAGCCCAGTGTTGCCACTGCCTGCCCAGAGATTCCTGGTCCTCAAACTTTCCAGTGTCTGAAGCTGAACAATTTCTGCCCAAACCAGCTGCCTGAGGGTGCTGATCCCCTCAGCCCCAGAAGCACAGCACTAATGTAGACTCCCTGTTCCCAAGTCATCTCCAGCTCGGTTCCAGCCTTCCCTCAGACTTTCCCGCCACAGCTTTTCCAGTTCTCGCTGAAGCACTGGCCTCTGGGCTTTCCCCCACACTTGTCAGCCCCAGCCTTGGTTTCTGGAATCCTTCCAAACTGGCCTTTTCTCCCCAAGTGTGTCCCTATGTTCCTCCTCCCAGTCACCTCTCTTCTCCCCCACGATGGCGCCTTGCCTTGGGCCCAGCAGAGCCTGTTAGTCAGTGAGACTCACTGGTGTTCAGCTCGGCTGCTCATTACGAAGAGGATCTGTGGGGTGTGAGGAGAGAAGTTCCCAGCAAGCCTGCTCACTTTCAGGACACCCCCTTCCTGCCCAACAGGTATGTCGGGGAGCTGATTTCGGATGCTGAGGCTGATGTGAGAGAGGATGACTCTTATCTCTTCGACTTAGACAACAAGGTGAGCAGCAGCCCCCGGCGCCGCTGGGACCAGTCTACAGGTGGAAACCTGGAGAGGGCAGCCTGAGTGGGTGTGGGGGGCAGAGGTGGACCAGCAACCAGGACTGCAGTAAGTGTCGATGGTGACTGTCCCCTCAGGATGGAGAGGTGTACTGCATCGATGCCCGTTACTACGGCAACATCAGCCGCTTCATCAACCACCTATGCGACCCCAACATCATCCCTGTGCGGGTCTTCATGCTGCACCAAGACCTCCGGTTTCCACGCATTGCCTTCTTCAGCTCCCGAGACATCCGGACTGGGGAGGAGCTGGGGTGAGGAGCCCGGGGCTCAGCCCAGGACATGGGAGGCACAAGGAGGGCTGGACAGCACCTGGTTTCCGGGCACAGATAGGGCAGAGCTGCTCCCACGTCAGAGTAAACAGCCCGGAACTTCAATACATGGGGGCGGGGCCCATGACTACATTACAGGCAAGTCCCCGGCTGATGGGACATCCAAGGAGCCCACCTGGAGAGGGAGGGGTGGGTACCGGGCTCTCTCCAGGAGCCTGGGGGTGCACTGGGACATCTGACTCTGAGTCTCCACAAGCCTCTTGTGCTCCTGACAGGTTTGATTACGGTGACCGCTTCTGGGACATTAAAAGCAAGTATTTCACCTGCCAGTGTGGCTCTGAGAAGTGCAAGCACTCAGCTGAGGCCATCGCCCTGGAGCAGAGCCGACTGGCCCGCCTGGACCCCCACCCTGAGCTGCTGCCTGAGCTCAGCTCGCTGCCACCTGTCAACCCCTGAGAGCCGAGAGCCAGCGGAACTCAGCCTCCCCTCCCTCTCCTGGACAACCTACTGGCAGCCACCTGGGCCACTTGCCTCCCAGGCCCATGGGGCTGCTGAATTTCCTCCACCTCTCCCTTCACACATTCCTTGGCCAGAGACCCCAGCCAGGCCCTGGAGGTCTGACAGCCCGTCTCCCAGAGCTGGTTCTTCCCTGGGAGGGTGACTTCAGGGCTGGCCGCACCTGGACCCCATCCTCAGCTGAAGTTTGATGAATTGAAATTGGGCCTCTATGCCAACTGGTTTCCTTTGTTCTGAATAAATGTTGGATTTGGTAATAAACTGGCTGGTTGTTGGGGATGGCGGGGGGGATGGGCACAGGCCCCAGGAATGTTGGGTCCAAGGGGCAGAGACCGGGAAGGCTGCAGTTGGGAAGGCAGCAGTTCCGGGTGTGGCTGCGGTAGAGCCCTGGGGACAGGAGGGTTGGGGGAATGGGGTGGGGGACCACTGGTCTGTGATCTAGTTGAGGGCTAAACAAACCCATGCTAATGGCAGGAGGCTACAGGTGTGAGCGCTGAAGGGTTTTCCTGAGAGCCTGCCAATCCCTTCAGACCACAGTTCAGCCCCCGCCTACCCCACACAGCGAGCAGCCCTGAGCACCTGGCCCAGCTGGGCCTTCCTTCCCTCAGGCTCAGAGTTGTGGGGTTGCTGCTGTGAAGGAGGAACTGGAGTCTGGGACCACAGGTGGAGGTGGGGCTGTGACGTGTGTGGGAGGGCGGGGCTGGCAGCAGGTGAGTCGCCAGGTTTCCCGGGCTCCAATCACTCTGGAGACTGAGCCATGGGGGGGAAGGAAAAGCTGGACAAGGACGAGCCCTACGGTGAGGCTGCGGCCGGGCGGCAGCGGGAGGTGGGAAGGTCTATTGCCTGATCTGCGTGGCTACAGTTTAACCCCAGGGAGAGGAACTGGGGGTGTCCTGGGTCCCCCTTGTGTGCGTAGGGGGTGCGGGCGGGAAGCCAGCTGATGGAAGGAGGCGGCATCAAGAGTCTGGGGAGGAGGATGCAGTTCAGTGGCTGTGGGCTGTTGCTGGGGAGACTTTGGGGACTGTAATGGGTCTCTGAGGAGATAGGGCTGCAGGGAGTCCCCGTCGGACCCAGAAACAAAGCCAGGATGGCCAGGGGTCCCGACAGGGGAATGGGACTGGGAGTGTCATGTGTTAAGGAGCCCTTGAAGAGTGACATAAGGGCCTGGCCCCCTACTCTGAGGATCAGCTAGGGTCTGAGAAGAGTCTGGTTGAACTCTGGGTCTCTGAGGGGGAAGGGCATTGGGGGGTCTGACTCTCAGGGTCGCTGTGAGGAGCAGCAGGCAGGTGGGTCCCACGGGGGCCCTGTGGGACCTGGGCTGTGGAGACAGGGCTGGGGCTTGCGTCTGAGTCTTAGCAGTGGAAACTGCCTCTGGTTCTTGAGTGGGGGCAAGGCCTTCCTGTGAAGGGTAAGTCAGACCTGAGGGGAGTGAGGAAGGGACCTGTCCCCAGAATCTCTATGAGGGATCAAAGCTGGAGCCCGTCCCAGAGGCCTGAGGATCAAAGTGGCAGAGGCCAGGCCTGAGGGAAACGTGAGCTAGGACCAGCCTTTGGGATCCCTGTGAGCAGTCCTGACAGGGACCTGCCCACAAAGGTCCCTGGGGTTTGGGAATCCGGAGAGGAAGAAACCCTTATTTGGGGGTGGGGTGGAACCGAGGCAGAGGGCCAAGGGAAGGAAGAGTGAGATTCCTTAGTAGACTTCCTGGAACGGTTTTGGGTCAATGATTGACCTCATGTCCAAGAGGGACAGAGTCCAGGGCACCTGCAGAGAGTGGACCCCACCCCTTCCCACACTCTTGCCCAGCTCTCTACCCTGCTCCCTCTTGGGTGCCCACGACCCTGGCAGCCTGGCTCCACCTCCTCCCGTGTGTACTTAGGGAGGACCAGGAACAGGACGCAACGGCCTGGCTCAGATGTCACCCTGAGCGCTTGCACAGAGGTTGATAGAGGTCCCTTCTGGGTGGGGGTCTACTGGGCTCCCTCACTCCCCAGCTCTCTCTCCCAGAGTTGGTGCTTTTAGCTCAACTTCTTTCCCCACTGCTTCAGGTGACAGGGTGGAGGTAGAGCTGGGGCAGGTGTGGGGAAGGGCTGTCACCTCCCTGCGGGGGCTCATCTGTGCCCACCCTGGGCAGGATAGAGAGAGGGAACAGGGATTGGGATGGGGACATGGAGGCACTAGAGCGCTAGTGGCAGAGTCCACACCCAGAAGAAATGACTAGGGTGGGGCAGGAGGTGATTGACATTAACTGGCAGCCTTGAGCTGGAAATGGAATTAACCCTAAAGGTCTCCTTTCCCTCCCTCCAAGGCCACCTGGATAGGTTCACAGCAAGAAACCCACTGGCTGCTAACTAGGCCTAGCTCCTACCTTTCCTTACTTCCATTTCCCCTCCAGCTAGCCCGGCCCCTATCCAACTCCCTTCCCCCAAACTCCTAAGGGCCAGGGGGATCCCAGGGCAGGAAGCTTTGGGAAGGACAGGAAATGAGGAGAAACCCCCTCAATACCTCACTGTCTACACTCCGCCCCACACCCCTTAGGAAAACCAGCGGAATATAACCCCTCCTTTCGAGGCCCTATCAAGGACAGGTGAGTCCTGGGCCCCAGCTCTGCCAGTGGCAGTTGGGAGGTGCTGGAGGGAAAGGGGTCTTACTTTTGCTTTGTGCTTGCTGGAAAATGATTAGAAAGTTGTAAAAAGGAAAACTGCCCCTGTGCCACGTGTGGGCACAGGCCTCCTGAGGTTTATGATGCTTCTGGACCTGGTCGCTGGCTGTGTGTCTGCACCCTCAGGAGAGTCCACCCAGCTTCTCTGTGTTATGCTTCAGACGAAAGTGGGCCCACCCAGAAAAGGGTTTTCTAAAAAACGGAACACAGCCTACCGATGCCCATCTTCAGCAACCCCCAGTTCTCCAACTGTAGCTCTTGTAGACCCCCTCCCCTCCCCACCTTACATACCCCATTTTCTCCAGGAGCTGCACAGATGTCATCTGCTGCGTCCTCTTCCTGCTCTTCATTGTGGGTTACATCGTGGTGGGCATTTTGGGTGAGTTTTCAGCTTTGCAAAGTTGGGGCTGAGGTGGAGGAGGGGCCATACGTACAGCTGCTCCCTCCCATGTGATTCCTTTCTGGTGATTTGTCTGTGCCATTGTGTCTCCAGCCTGGGTCTATGGAGATCCCCGACAAGTCCTGTACCCCAGGAACTCTACGGGGGCCTACTGCGGGATAGGAGCAAACAGGTGAGTACCCAGGCAGGAAGAGGGGGCAGGAGAAACATAAGGCAGGTGATGGGCACTCAGGCTCCAGAGTGACCTAAGCTCTTCCACACCCCCTCCCAGCGTTCTGGAATCTCCCCCACTCAAGACCATGTGGAGAAATCACCAGTACTGGGCAGCTGGCTTCTGAGTCTCCCCAGAAATAGGGAGGCAGTGTTGTGTGGGGGAGAGAGGAGAGTCTCCCTTCCTCTTTCCCTCTCTTGGATCTTCTAGACTGGCAAAGAGATAAAATCACATGTCAACAGATTGACAAGAGAAAAAAACAAATAATGTGTATACCTCTGGTATTCACAGGGGAGATTCAGCAAGAAATAAGTAACTCACCGAAATGGCTTGTTACCTCCTTAAATAACTTCTATTAAAAACAAAGGATATGAGGGGGTGGGGGCCAGGGCTGACCATTATGGGAGGTCAAGGGGAAAGCATAGTGAATGGGTAAGACTGTTATGCAGATTTAAGCTGCTGCCTCGTGCATTATAAGAGGAGAGAAAGGAGGTCTTCCGGTAGGACCTGACTTACAAAGGGAGTCTTTTCTTTACACATGCAAATGTTTCTTATTAAAGGGCAACCTCCACCCAGCTTTTAAAGTCTCTTCGAAATAATCCTTATACCCAAGAGACAGCTTTGGGGCTGGCAAATTTTGCTTCTCTGCTGTAGTCATGGTTCAGTGCTGCATGGACTTTGAGATTGGGTTGGTTCTGGTATGTGGCTTTAGGCAAGTTTTTCAGCCTCTTTGAGCTGTGAAGCCCTCATCTGAAATGCAAGGATGATCCCTGAAATGATACTGTTTTGGTGTGCAGGAAATGTTCAATAAATAATAAAACCTCAAATTGCTTACGGTGTTTACTATGTTCCGGACATACACAAATTCATTTAAACCCCACGAGGTAGATACTGTTTTACATGCTGGGACTGAGGCAGTGAGCGTTAAATGATTTGCTTAAGGTCGTGAAGCTGGGTGATTATTTGGCTGCAGAGTTGAAGCTCAAACACTTGTAAGCAATCGTGATGTTAAATTAATCTAGGAAAACTTTTGGGCATCTCTCGTGCCTACCCAACTAGACTGAGCATCCTGTGGGCCAGGAGCGGGTGGTGAGGAGCTGGTGGTGTATCTCCGTCACTATGGCGCTGGCAGTCATTCCCCGCCCCCTCCTTGGTCTGGCCCTGACGCTGGCTTCCTCCCCTGCGCAGTGACAAGCCTTATCTCCTGTACTTCAACATCTTCAGCTGCGTCCTGGATGCCAACATCATCGCAGTAGCTGAGAAAGGCCTACAGTGCTCCACACCCCAGGTCAGAGCTGGCAGGCTGCTTTGGCCCCAATCTCCGTGGGGTCTAGCCACCATTATCCCCCACCCCTACACTCTTTGCCACTAGGTGTGCGTGTCGTCCTGTCCAAACACCACATGGACTGTGGAACCCAGGCAATACACCCTGACAGTCGAGGAGGTCTTCTACAATGAAAACAGGAATTTCTGTCTGCCTGGGGTACCCCAGGACATGGTAAGCACCACCCCCAACATCATCACTGTCGCCAAGGCGGGGAGTGCAAGAGGGTTGGGGAGGTAATTGGGGTGATGGCGAGGGGGCTCGTTCCTTTACCCCACTGTCTGTCTGTCCCCTCTCCACCTTCCAGAAAGTGCTGAGAAGCCTGACCCAAGAATTCTGCCCCAGTTTCCTGCTCCCTTCTAGCCCAGGTGAGAAGCTGCATTCTTTTCTCAGGCATCACCTAGTCCAGTATTTTTATTGCTCTCATGAGGAAACCAGGCCCAGAGATAATAGCCGCACAGCTTCGGTTTTCTTTCTGCTACCGGAAGATCATCAGTGTTTATTATGCTGAGCACTGGGGAGAGTCACAGGGAAGATGTGCTAAGTTTGAGCTAAGTTCCAGATGGAACATGGGGTCCACACAATGATCTCATGAAAACATGCACAGACACCACACATATACATACTCCCATGCACAGGGAACAGACTGGAAGGATTAAGAGAATGTTTCCCCAAACGTTAGATGTGAATATAACTGGGTGATGGGGTCACACCAATTTTTAATTTTTTCTGTGTCCTCTTCCATCTTACCATAAATGTCATTTTTAACAGAAAAAAAATTGAAATTATGTCATGCAAAAAGACTTCCAGTTCTTTGTACAAGTAGAATAGGAAGTCTTGCAAATGACTGCCCCAAAATCAGGGTAGATTTGGGCTTAAATCCCACTGCTTTCCAGCTGTGTGGGCTTCGGCCAGCTAGCAACCTCGCTGGCCTTGTTTCCTCATCTTTAGACTACGAACGCAAGACCCACGCAAGGTTGTGGTGAGAGTGGAGGTAAATGACCGTGTAGGCACAAAACCGGTGCCGCTGGAGATGGGTTGGGGTGAGAAGGCTTCCTGGAGAGTGAGGTGCAGATGGAATTGAACAGCAGTAGTGTCTGGGATTTCTGGAGGAAGATGAGTACTCAGGTGCAGCAAGGGACAGAGGTGAGGGGAAGTCGGCAGGGCTTGCACTGTGGGGTCTTGAAGCCTGGCCATGAGGATCCAGAGGTGTCTGAGCAACCTAGAGCCCTGGAAGCTTGAGGTCTGCTGGGCCATGGCCTCCCTGGCACGGGGACAGGTGGATGGGTGGGTGGAAATGTCGCCAGGTGGAAGCAGAGAGCACGAGGGTCTGAGCCCAGACAGCAGCAGGGAGGAGAAGCTCCACCGGGCAGGAGCTCCCCTCCCTATGCCTCCCATCCCCCAATTTGGCTATGGAATCAAGAGCAGCCCTACTAGGGCTCATCACCCCTTCCGTCTCTGCGGACCCCATGGACTGTGTCGGGGACCACAGATCTTCAAGACAACCCCGTTCTCTCCATCCAGTTTTGGGCCGTTGCCTTCCATGGGTCAACAGTACTGTTCCTGACCTCCCGGGGCTCACCAACACCAACATCACTCAGGGAATCAGGTGCGTATCCCCCAGAGCCCATGTCCGCTCACACGCCTCCCCACCCACGGCCCCACTGACTCCACCTCTCTCCAACAGTGGGGTTTTCGACAGCCTCAATGCCCGTGACATCAGTGTTAAGATCTTCGAAGATTTTGCCCACTCCTGGCACTGGATTCTTATGTGAGTCACCAGAGTCCCCTCCCTCTTGTCTGTGCCCTTCTCGCCTTCCGATTCTCCATCCCAGCTCAATGTCTGAAACAAAGACTTGGACAGGGGAGGACCGAGCCAGAGCTTGGAACAGAGCCCAAGCCCTGAAGAATCTTTTTTTTAATAAATTTTTTTTTTTATGCATACAGAACCGGGGTACAGGCCAGAGGTATAGGGGCAGTGAGAGGATTCACCAGAGACAGAGTGGGGAGCAGAACAGGCAGATCAACGAAGTACACTGCTGAGGGGAGCAGCGGGCGAGACAGGAGAGGTCTCCTGGCCATGTGGTCACCTCCTGGGCCAGGGATCGAACTTGCATTGAAGTGGCTGTGACTAGCTTGCAGTGCTGCACTCTAACCCATTAAGCCACCAGGGAGGGAGATCCCACCCCACTCCACCCCACCCTGAAGAATTTACAAGAAAAAGAAGTTCTAACCTGGAGATACTGAGGTTTAGGCAGTGGCATCTGGGGGCCTCTGAAAAGGGAGAGTTGAACTGTTTTTAAACGTTTGAGGGGGACTGGGCGAGCCTCACCACTTCTCTCTACCCCAGCGCCCTTGGCGTGGCTCTGTTCCTGAGCATGCTGTTCATCCTGCTTCTGCGCCTGGTGGCCAAGCCCCTGGTGGTGGTCCTCATCCTGGGGGTGCTGGGCGTGCTGGCCTACGGCATCTTCCACTGCTGGAAGGAGTATCAACAGCTGCGAGACAAGGGGTCCTCCATTTCCCAGCTGGGCTTCACCTTCGACCTCAGCTCCTACTTGAGCGTTCAGGAGACCTGGCTGGCGGCCAGTGAGTGCCCGGCCTACCTCCCCGCTAGCTGCCTGTCGCCCCAGAGCTGCCTTCAGCCCTGCCGGCCCTGACTCCGTTTCCCCGTCTGCCCCAGTGATCCTGCTGGCTGTGCTGGAAGGCATCCTGCTGCTCATGCTCATCTTCCTGCGCCTGCGGATCCTCATCGCCATCGCCCTCCTGGAGGAGGCTAGCAAGTCAGGCCTGTCTGGGAAGGAGGGGGCACAGGGCGGGCCAGGCTGGGGCCAGGGTGCGGAAGAGAAGAGGCAGACTAAACCACAGTAATATTGCTGTGTGACTTAGCCTTCCTGAGTCCCCGTTCACCAGTCTGTAAAGTGGGGGTTATAAGAGCTCCTGCCTTGTAGGACTGCCATGGGGATCACATGAGCCGGGGCCACTTCCCTCTGTGCGGGCTCTGGGAGTGGTGGTACTTAGGGTGGCGGTGGTGGTTGGTGGATGGCAGGAATCCAGGTGGGAGGAGAAGCAGGAGTTTGCTCCCAAACAAGTCTTGCCTGCCCAGTGGGGCAAGTGGCCACCCTACGAGTGTTCTTTTCACATCTCCCCGAAGTTGCCCCTGGTGAATTCCACGACTCTAGTTTCCTTTCAGGGTCTCTTGAATCTGATTTGTAGGCCTCAATTCATTCAGTGAGCACCTATGTGTGGCCAGCCAAGGGAGGAGGAGCAGGCCCTGGCAAGGGCAGCGTGGGCCCCATGCCAGGGCCAGCCCCTGGGGGTCTTCCAGGGCCATGCTCTCGTCTCCCCACAGGGCAATAGGACAGATGATGTCTACTGTGTTCTACCCACTGGTCACCTTTGTCCTCCTGTTCATTTGCATCGCTTATTGGGCCATGACTTCGCTGTATCCTTTGCCCACACCACTGGGTCATCCTGGAGTCCTGGGGGTGACAGGGCCAGGCAGGGCTTGCCACACAGCTCCTCCAGGCAGGGTCCCTTTTCTCTGTGCAGAGACACAGCCCTGGTCAGAGCTGAAGGAGAAGAGATGGTTTTATCCATGACCAACCTGCATGAGTGCCTGGGAGGGATCCAGGGATGGGGGGGAAGCTAGGGAGACCCCATGTCACAGAACTTTCCTTGACTCCCATGTGGGTACCTGGCCACATCAGGGCAACCCCAGTATGTCCTACGGGTGCCCAACTCCAGCTTGTCTGGCTGTGAGAACCTGATATTGAATGAAACTTGCAACCCTCTGGTAAGGGGGGTGGGGATGGGGATGGAGGAGGCTTAGGGGATCTTAGGGGCCAACTGGCCCAAACCTCTCTTTGTACAGAGACAGACCCAGTGGGGGTAAGGGATTCACTCAAGGTCACACCACAAGCCCCAGCTGAGCCAGGAAGGGGAGGGCCATTTGTCATCTCATTAGTCATTCTGAGGCTCCAGGTCTAGTTCCCTGCTGACAGCCACAGTAGGGAAAGAAGGGAGGCTGGAAGGAGGTGCACCTTTGGGGGGGGGGGTGCAATCCTTCCCTGGACATTCCCCTGCCAGGAGGGCCATTCAACCTCTTGACCCTGGGAGCCTGTGTCCACTGATCTGTAAGATGGGACTAATCATAATACCCATCCCTCAGGGCCACTGCGGTTACAGGACATGGGCATGTAAATGATTTGGACACTGGCTGACATCTGATAAGAGCTGATAGCTGTAGAGTGGTTTTGTTTAACTATGTTTTGGGGGGACTTGTTTTTTATTTTATTTCCCTCTCTAGGCAGGTGGGACACTCTGGGGGCTCCTGGGAGAGAAGCTGCTTCCCCAAACTCTCCCCTTGACACTAGATTGCTAGACATTGACTATTCTCAAAGTTGTCGCTCCTCTGAGCTGGAACAATGGCCTATGCCCCCATTGAGTAAAGGAAATAGGCTCCCTTGAAAATCTGGGGGGTCCACTGTGTGCCAGGTACATGTATCAAAAGTCCTAGGTACCTTGGTTCTTGCTTTCAACCCTCCCCAGGAGTGGAGAAGACACAGAGGCACAATTACACACAAAATACATAAAATTTCAAACATATACTCAGTTTCAGCAATTGTCGATATTTTTGTCACATTTGCTGGAAAGTTTTTATCTGGAAAAATTTCAAACACACACAAAAGAGAATTGCTGTGCCTTCCACAACCTGCAGCTTTCCACAGTGCTGGCTTCGCCTGCCCTCCCTACCTCCCTGGAGATTTTTTTTCTTTCTCTCTCTGGGGTTTTTTAAGGCAAATTCTGGACATGGTGTCATTCCACCGGTAATACAACAGGATGACTCTTAGTACTTAAGGATTTTTGAAAGCACAACCATTACCCCACTATCATACCCAATAAAGTCAACAGTAAATCCTTATTATCTTATACTCACTCTTCGATTTTGCTAGAAACTGTTTTAGTTGAAGTCGCCGAGGCTGCTCTGGGAGGGGATTGCTGGTTGAGTGTAAGGGAGAGCTAGCTAGGCCAACACCTGGCCCTTGCACCACTGAGGCTTGGGGAGTTCTTGCCCATCAGGAGGCTGAAAGAAGCTAATCACACTAACACAGTAGGCAAGCTGTACCAGTGAAGCTAGAGGCGACTCCTGAGAGAGGAGGCTGCACCTCCTTTCTCTTCTCTGGGAGAGAAGACCTGGTTGGGAATGAGTCTACTCTTTCAAAATCCTCCAGGTCCCAGTGAATAACTCCTGCCCAGGAGCGATGTGCGTCTTCCAGAGCTACACGTCCACAGGCCTGGTTCAACGTTCTCTCTTCAACCTGCAAATCTATGGGTTCCTGGGACTATTTTGGACCATCAACTGGGTACTGGCCCTGGGTCAATGTGTCCTGGCAGGGGCCTTTGCCTCCTTCTACTGGGCCCTCCACAAGCCCAAGGACATACCCACTTTCCCCCTGTGCTCTGCCTTCACTCGCACACTACGGTAAGCAGCAGGCAGGCTGGGAATGGTGAGCCTAGGAGTCAGGTCCCAGGGCTGCGTCTGACCACCAAACACCTTCAGTTATCACATCGGCTCGCTGGCCTTCGGATCCCTCATCCTGAGCCTCGTGCAGATAGCCCGGGTCATCTTGGAGTACATTGACCACCGATTAAAAGGTAAGTCAAGGTCCGGGGCTGGGGAAGGCCAAGCTGCATTCTTGAGGAGAGATTGTCAGGGGTCTGACCCCCTGACACACACCCCCACCCCCCCAGGAGCCCAGAATGCACTAGCCCGGTGCATCCTATGCTGCTTCAAGTGCTGCCTCTGGTGTCTGGAAAAGTTTGTGAAGTTCCTGAACCGCAACGCATACATCATGGTGAGCCCCACAGTGTGCTCACTTGCTCTGGGCCCCTAGACACTGGCCCCCTCCATCCTGAGCAGCTTACACAGCTAACTCTGAATGTTCCACCTCACCCAGATTGCCATCTATGGGAAGAATTTCTGTGCCTCAGCCAAAGATGCCTTCAAGCTGCTCATGAGGAACATTGTCAGGTCAGGCCACTCCCACATTTTGGGACCCCCACCACAGATCTTGCACCCAAGTCTGGCTTCATGACCATACTGTGCTCAGAAGAACCTCAAACTTGAGTTATTGTTCTGCTGAAATGTGAACACAGCATATCTTGCACTTGTCTTGGCAAATTATTATAGTCAATTCAGTCTCCAGCCTTGCCTGGCCTCTCACCCCCACCTACCCTAAATCCCTACGTAGGGTGGCTGTCCTGGACAAAGTCACAGACCTGCTGCTGTTTTTCGGGAAGCTACTGGTGGTTGGAGGTGTCGGTAAGGACCAGGTCTGGGGTTCTAGGGAAAGGACAGGGGTGCTGGACATTTAAAAAAGTCACCCCAGGAACAACACTGACCTTCAGACCTCTGCCACAGGGGTCCTGTCCTTTTTTTTCTCCGGTCGCATCCCGGGATTGGGCAAGGACTTTGAGAACCCCAGACTCAACTACTACTGGCTGCCCATCATGGTGAGTGACTCCATCTCACCTCACCCTCCCAGCTCCCCCAAAGGAATCCTAACAGCCCTCATGTCTTCCAGACCTGCATCTTGGGGGCCTATGTCATTGCCAGTGGCTTCTTCAATGTTTTTGGCATGTGTGTGGACACCCTCTTCCTCTGTTTCTGTGAGTGACACCCTTCACACTCCCCACCCCCAACATCAAGATTCCAAACTTCTCTGATTTTTTGGAGACAGTGCTAGAAATAATGACTTCATGAATTAAATGAGCTTGAGGGAGCCTCTTCTGACATCCTCAGATTGGGTGGTTGGGGAAGAAAGGAAAAAGTAAGGTATAGGGCAGGCAGGATCTCTGGGAGTGAGAAGAAAGCATTCCTGGGGAGAGGTCTCTGGCATCTTCCAGAAAATCTGGAGAAGTTAGCAACTAGAGACTTCCCAGCAGGTGGCTGTAGTGAGAAAGGACTTTTACCCTACCACAGCTGTTCATTCAGGCTTTGGTTTGTAACTGGCTCCCCCACTCCACCCCCACCTACCCACCTTACAGATAAGGAAACTGAGATTACATAACTTGCTCAATAAATTACAAAACCTGACCCTCGGGTAAACTGCCAGTGATGGTGCAGTCTGAATAGAAGCCAGGCATTTTAATCCCC